AATAACAACTTACTTGCATAAGTAGTCCATGCAAGGCATTGTGCGAAAGCCTCTTATCCAAGTCCAATCCCTGACGTGCCTGCTGAGCCAGTAACTTTATGTGGCCAGTAAGAAGAGACGCCAGATGGTCAGGAGGCAGGAGGCTGGTGATTGCCCTGGCCGCATGGCGACGTATTCGTATATCGCCACTTGAAGAGCATCTGAAAGCAAGGAAGAAGCATAAGATCCAACAGAAATTTCAAAAAATGTATGCCGATTAAATGAATGGGCTATAGAGTGGACAAGGTTGGAAAATAAGCGAAGGTACGAAGAAAAAATTGGTTCATAAGTGGGCATGCTTGCAGCTGGCCACAATTCCTGGCTTATTGTTTGGTGAATTTTAGTTAAATAATGGTCATACATAGTTATAGTATGTTTCAAAATAATCATTAATTCTTGAATGAGGAATTAGGTCCCAGAAATTGCTTCAGATAGTGGAGATTAGTAGGTGTCAAACTGCAAGTAAATTTCATTTAGCTTTACCCCCAAAATTTGGTATTATCATCCTGCTTCACCAGCATCCCCAAAGGGATTATATACCAGGTCTTGAGTATCCTAGCGACATGGTTCCACTCCGCTATACAGCAACGGGTTCTATTGAATCACAGGGCTGGTGTGACTTTTGAGGGAAGTCAGGCCTACCCAAAAGCACACTTATAGTTGGATTGTAGATAAAGCAAACATGTGCTTACCATTACAAGAAAATAGGAAACCTATATTCCCTGTAATTATGCTTCAAATACAAAGTTCCTGTCCAGGAATTACTGATAGTTTCTAAACATGCTTACACCTTACATAAGCAGCATTGACAATTGTGCAAATGCTCAAATGCGTACAATGTGTTGCCTTTGTTGCATGGAAAATGGCAATCCACACAGAAAATGTTAAACTTTACATGCAAACAGACCAGTTTTATCGAAGACCGGGTAAGACAGACATAGGTTACCTGAGCAAGGGTCTGACAAATTCCAATATACGTGGGCACTCTGCAGCAGTGGACACTTGGACTGGCGGAAGAAGTCGTGAGAGGAGAATGAGGAGAGCGTAAATGCGAGTGCGATGCTGAGAGGGCTGTTTCCTGCTGAAAAGGGAAGAAGAAGGCACAAAGTTGTATCAATTCTGACAAATTGATGCACAGAAAATAAAATAAACCCAACCAAGGACAGAATAACTGAGTAGCTGAATACTTGAGAAGTGGATCGGAAGCAAATGTAGTGTTACTCCGAAAGCGGATAAAGTCGTATGCAGACAAAAAGGGCTGAGAGCGCATGATAAAGGCGGTGATGCAACCTCAATAACAAAAGTTACTCAGTCCGAGCCGGCATCGAGGCACGACTAGGTAGATAAATAGAGACATTCTCAGAATCGTAATATTTTCCATCAGAAGCGATTGAGAAGATTTCCATACCAAGACAGTTTCTTAATATCCGGACGAAGATCAAGCTCAGAAAGGGGCCATAGCTGACTTCAGAACAACAGCTTCTTCTCAAAAACTATTCCAATGTAAATAGGAGCCCTAAAGATAGTTTATTCTTGTGACAAAAAAATAGAGCTATTAAAGAGGACTGACACACTTTTTGTAAACCCAAATACATTATATCAACACCGTCTTCTGCCTAGTCTTATCAGAACACATGTTTAAACTTGCATATAGGCTTCGGAGCAAGGATCATAGCAAAAGCCTTTTATTTTTACAATAAAGTTAGCCAAGAAAA